AGTGTGCTGGCCAGAGCCCTGAGCTTTTCACATGGAAGGTGTTGATTACGTAGGCTCTCACTGGCTTATTTTCAGAAAAGATCAGGGTCTGTTCTCAAGGAAGATAGTCTTTCTTGGTTCCTGGTAACAACACAGCACTGGCTAAAGAGCTAAGTATAATATGAGGGCTGTGACTACAGGTGAACTGAATGAGTTTCCTTTCTCTGCTGCTCTAGTCTTATGGACCAGGATTAGTCTCTCCTTACTCCCTGGGTCAGGTGGACAGTTTGGAAGAAAACAGTCCTCATGATCTAGTGAACTGATAGATAAGGTCAAAACCAAAGAGGCATGCTTGCGCATCCCCTGACCCACAGTGGAGTGCAGAAACATGCAGCAGGGATGGAATTCTATAGAGAAGTGCACTCTCCCTTCCTCCACCCCAGCTCTCCCTTCTTACTTCTGCTCGCAGACACTTTAGGGTGCTGCTAACTGAGCTGAGGACCACAAACTGCCCATCTTTTTTACTTCACTGGTTTCTTAAGGCCAAGAGAATAAGGCTGCCTCTGAAATTATGGGAGGTTTGAAATGAGACATACTAGGGTTTATTAGCTGTATCACTTATTAGCTGTGTGATGTTAGCCAATAATTTAAACTCTCTGAGCCTTTGATTCCATGTCATAAAAAAAGAGTAATGCTATCTTGCATTGGCTTGTGGTGAGACTTAATTGAGACAGTGATATAAAATGTCTAGGAAAGCTCTAACCATAATAAGAGGTCAGTAAACAGTAGTTGGGTCCCTCCACCTTGGCGAAGCACTAGAACATTGTGAACATTTGTTGAGAGTTTATTGTGTTAGATGTTAGTGTTACTCTTCAATATTTCTGATTCTCTTCTCTTTCTGGGCACATGGGAGAATTGTATTTCTCTTGCCCCTTCATTGTCCATGGCAGTGTGACTTAATCTAACCAATGTGCTGCAAGTGGAAGTATTTAAGAACTGGGGTGTGTTTCTCCATGACTGCTGTTCTCTGCCAAAGGAATTGCAAAAGCAGTTTTGCTATGGAGGCACCATAAGGTGGAAGCATTCTGGAAAACTGAGCCAACACGTGGAGGACAGCTGCTCTGCAGGGCTGCCCAGACCACACCCATGGTAGACTCTGTGTGATTCAGATTCAGAGGTAATTTATTAGTGTAGCATCATCTACACTATTCTGACTGATAAATAGACAGTGATGTATAAGATGGATCTGAAAATGCTGCAATATAAAAGTAAGAACTCTGATAAAGGAATATTCCAAGTAATGCAGGACACCTAATACTGCTGGGCTACGCAGAGAGAGAATCAAAGAGGAGGTAGCATTAGAGCTGGACTGTGAGAGCCAAGAGAGAGAGGAACGAAAATACCTCAAGGATGGTTGTGTGTTCCCTGTGTGGGAAAAGGCAGTTGTACCAAGACAGTGCAGGCAAAAGCACAGAGGTATGAAAATCCATGGAGTATTCTAGGAAGAATGAGAACTAGCATTCCCTACAGAATTTCTCCCCAGTTAATGTTTTCCATGTAGAACATTTCTTTGTAGAACATATGTGCCTTTCAATACAATGCTTTTATACCAATACTTATATAGAAAAAACTATTAGATATATGTCCCCCCAAACTCAGTGCATTTTTACACAAAGTGATGAGGGTGGGGAGCTCAACAGAGAAAGTCTTGAGGTTCATTCCAAGTGCAATTGGAGCATATTGAAGTTCACAGTAGGCAACTGGAAAGGCTCTGAATGTCAACTAAGGGCACATACAGCATGTCATACAAATAAAGCAGCTATATTAATGTTTTAATGATCAGGAAGGATAGTTTTAAATATTTTACATCCTTATTTTACGACAGTTTATTAAATAAATACAGAGATAAAGATTTACAAATATTTTACTACCTAACATATTAGCTTGTTGCTTATATACAGGCATTTTACTGTGTTTTATGTTTTGGAAAATTGGTTGAGGATTTTGGATTGAGATGTAATGCAAGAAAAATTTTCCCATTTAAAATAATGGAAACGGCGCTCCTGGTTAGCATTTTCGTGCAAACAACGTTCAGTGAGACTTGCCTGTATTTCTGAATGATAGGGCTTGGTCGAGACAGAGGTGTGACCTGTGAAGGAGGTGGGACCTGAGGTAGTGGTGAGCCAGAGGTTCTGATGCCCAGCAGTGACATATGGATTAGTGTATTTTAACAACAGCCCTGACTGGGCATGGGGAGAGCCTGAAGTAGGGAGCTGGTGATGGCCGAGTCTAGGTGAGAGGAAAGGGCCTTGACTGAGGCAGCAGGGATGGAAAGGGAATCAGAGAGACATTTCAGAGGCTGAATGGTGGATGGAAGGATATGGAGGGTACAAGTCAGGGAGTCTTCCAGGAGGGTGATGGGGAGGTAGCCATGGTTATATTAGCCAAATGAGGGAACCTCAAAGGAAGAGAAAGAAGGACAAAAAGCAGGAGCAACAGCAGATTTCAGGGGATGAGGATGGCTGCCAAAGAGGGACTTCAGTTTTAGATGCGTTGTATTGAGGTGTTCTCTGGGGAGATTTCTGTGTGTCCTCCAAAACCCAGCCTAATGTCTTACACGGGTTCCTCCCACCGAACAATAACAGTGACATCGCTAGGACAGAACACAAATAGATACTCACTTATTGCGATAAGGTTTTGAGAAGAATGCAAGAGTCGGAAACGTTTTCCTAAACCTGGAGCCTGTCAAATTCCTCTCCCCTGTTGCCCTGGGTCCTAGGAGCCCCACAGTAGTTAGGCCTGGGTGAGGGGGGAATTGATGTGACTTGTAAGAATCCCACTCTCTCTGGCCAGGGACCACCTGGATGGCTTTGCTTCTACACAGGAAGTAGAATCAGCTGGAGGACCATCGTTTCTGCCTTAAAAGTCCTTGATAGATCTAAGAAGCCCTATTTTGGTTAGTTGCATACAGAACTGATTGCTTTTAGCTTCTCCGAGACATGGGGGATTGGTAAGAGTTTCTCAGTGGGATTTTAGATAGAATAGTCTAGGCTTAAATCTACAAGAACTATATTGGACCTTGATAAAGAAGTGGGAAAATGACCATTTTTTTTGTTCCTGCCAAATTAATTTTAATTTTTAAAATTGATTTACAATATTATATTAGTTTCAGGTATACAACATAGTGATTCAAATTTTTTATAGATTATACTTCATTTACAGTTATTGTAAAATATTGGCTATTTTCCCTGTGCTGTGAAATATATCTTTGTAGCTTATTTATTTTACATATAGTAGTTTGTACCTCTTAATCCTCTACCCCTATGTTGTCCCTTCTCCACTTCCCTCTCCCCACTGGTAACTTCTAGTTTTTTCTCTATATCTATGACTCTGTTTCTTTTTTGTTATATTCACTAGTTTGTTTAATTTTTTAGATTCCACATGTAAGGGATAACATACAGTATTCGTCTTTCTCTGACTTATTTCACGAGACGCAATACCTTCCAGGTCCATCCACGTTGTTACAAATGGCAACATTTCATTCTTTTTTATGGATGAGTAGTATTCCATTGTGTATATACATCACATCTTCTTTATCCATTCATCTGTTGATGGACATTTGTAGGTTGCTTCCACATCTTGGCTAGAAAATGACTCTTTTCGAGAAAGAATACATGTTTACCAGGGCAGGGAATTTTGTCTGTTTTATTCACTGATGGATCCTAGTCCTAGAACATCCCTGGAACACATGGGAGCTCAGTAAATATTTGCTGAATTGAATTGAATTGACATTCAGTCTCTTCACAAACTGTTTCCTATTTCCTGTCAGTTTCTAGAGCAGTCAGTGTGGGGCTGTGCTGACCCATCTTCCTCTTCACTGGCTCAGGCACAGTTCTTGGGGCTTGGTGGGTGCACACGTTGGGAGCCTAGGCAATGGCAGAGTGCTGACCACAATGCCTGGGTTTGTGCTGGAAGGAAAACATGTCTTCTCGCACAGCAGGACCTGCATTCTCCCACCTGCCAAATGCCCAGAAAGAGCAGGAATGGTTGTTTCACACAAGCAGTCAAGCACAACACGTGCAATCCATGCAGACAATGCCCAGGGTAATGGCATCACCTGTAAGGACCTCCAGCACATGCCTGCAACTGTCTCCCAGCACACATTGCAGGGCCTGTGATCAGTAAATACATGCAGGGATTAATGGCATAGCTGATACTCTTACTGGGCCTCTCCTCCAGGTCTTAGTTTTAAGATATATTTTAAAGAATATATATTTTTTGGATCCTTGAGTAATTTTCTCAAGCAGAGTAACCTCCAGTTACGGTCCTAACAGTCATGAACAGGCAGACTGGAGTGTTGTTGTTCTGCCTGATGCTGCTGTTCTTCTGGGAATATGGATGGTGGGCACCTCTAAGACCCAACGTTCCCAATACAACTGTCTCCCAGCATTTCTCTGCCCCTTTTGTTATGCCACAACGTCAGGTGAGGTGAAGAAGAACTCCCCCAGGCCACAGCACTCTGGGCTCCACGAAGAGGGTGTCTGGCTCCTTTCCTAAACCGGCAGTGGGACCGGTCTGCCAAACTCTTCTCATAGGCCAGGAAGAGACCTAGTTACAGATTCCTACACTGCCCTCCTCCCAGGGGAAATCCTGCAACTCATTTTAATTCTCTGGCCAGTCCCAGAAGTCCCTTTTAATCACTCACTCATTCATTCATTCATTCATCACCTACTCTTTAACCTGCACCATCCTAGGCTCTGGGTATACCGTGGACAGGAAGCTAGACTCAGCTCCTGCCTGTGTCCCTGGGCCCACATCCCCACTAAGTCCTGCTAGAACACTTCCACCCATGGCATAACTAGCAACCCAGCAACTTCTGCCACCAGCGGGATAGGAGTGCTGAGTCTGCACACATGCAGATCCTCCCTCCAAACTCAGCATGTACTCACACAGACTGTGCTCACTTCAAGAGTAAGACAAAGGCCAGCAACAAACTGAACCAGAATTGTCTATTTTTATTTTATTGGAAATAAATATTAATTTTCCAAATTCTCAATCATTTCATAAATAATGTTAAGTTAACAGACATTTTACAGAATATTACATTAAATAAGATAGATAAAAGTATATACCTATTTTGCCTGGAGCAAACTGGTGGAAAATACTTCAATGATTCTGATACCTTAAGTACATCTCAAATATTTTATTTGTATGCTTTCTGCCTGTGTGAGGTGGTGAAGTAGCAGTATGCCTGAAATATTTGCTTTGCCTCTGAAGTTTAATGACACTGAACATTATGGCCCAACCGTTGGTTAGCCCTCATTCTCCTTGCAGTAAAACATCCTTCTCTTCCTCCCAAATCTTAAGCTACAATAAGACAGTTTAGTCTCAGCTTTCTGTTGTCCACTCAGTGTTTATTACACCAAGGAAAACTTGCAGGTAGTCTAGGAACTGTTTTACTTGCCATCTTTCTCCTCCACACTTTTTCTGTGAAAAGAACAGATGACAAGCATTGTAGGAAACGGTCAATTCCTATAAACAGAGGCACAGCCAGACAAAAATGCTTAAGTTTCCACTAAGTGTTTTTAACTTACTTTTTGGAGGTCTATATATTCTTTAATTAAAGACAAGTTTTGGAATAGCTTTTCCACGGCATCCCCTTGTTCAGTTTGATTCTTCAATGTGTCTATTCCCTGAAAGACTTCTTCAATACATAGTTGGTGCTAAATGAGGAAGATTTAAAAACTATAAATATTCAAAACAAGGGATAAAAATTTGGTACCAAAATTTAGTGTTTTGTGTTGTCTGCTTGAGTTGCCTTCTCCAAAGAATTTTTCACTTGTTCTTTTTCTAGGTAGCAAACCACTTCATACTCAGATACAATTTCCAAAAGTAGATAAAGTTTATATAATTACTGAGGTGTTTTACAAATGATATAAATTAAGTGCCTCACGAAAAATAAAATGTTAGAAAGTGAAATGCAACTGCACATCAGTTGCCTTTTATAGTTCTAGCTGATAATTTTATTCTATTCAGACTAATGAATCATATAGTTTCATTTTAATACAACTATGACATACTCCAAATGTATACAATTACATCATATAGTCAGAATAATTTAAGTATATGGAAATGACTATTAATATAGGCCATTCATTGTCTATTTTAAAATCTACTGAGCATGATTCTAAAAATATAACCCTAACTTCCTAACACTTTAGGAAAGACATCAAAGTGAGGAAAGCCATAGATAGTCAGAGTTAAATGGAGACTAAAAGGCCCCTCTCACCCAATGTGGAATTATTCTGGAAAGACTGCCTGACGTGAGGCTAACTGAGGTGGAAAACTGACAATAGCACCAAAGGGCCTGATCCACTTGTTTAATGGATTTTACTTGTATAAAGTCATTCTTAATATTTATAAGTACATACATATACACCCACGCATAAAAAAGCAAAATGGAGAAAATTAAATAGCTCAAGTGATACCGAATACTTTATAGCTTAAAATATGAAACTTACTTATTCATTCAATGATTTTATCAAATCATGATTTAACTTACATTTGTATGTTCAGGAGTAGGAATCATCAAGTTCTGAAAAGGAAAGGAAATACATTCATTTTTAAAGCACTCTAGCACTCATAACTTTTAATAAAATGCTTGCTAGTAATACAGTTACAATTATATATTACTAACACACTCCTAATTTTATGATTAATAACAGATATTTAAAAGTTAACCACCACAAATGATTATCTATATGTTTCAAAGACTGTAGGAATCAAAAAGAAAATTACCCCATCGCCTATCAGCAGAGTTCGATGAGTGGAGAGCAGTGTCAAGGTCTCTGCCACCAGTCTATTCATGGGACTTTCTACAGCAATGACACAAACGTAGGCAGCTCCAAGACCTAGCAAACTCAAATACAGAAGCAATCTCATGGCTCTGAAATGTTCAGCGTTTGCCTTGGCAAAGAATATGCATAGTACAAGATTGCATCCCCAACCAATTTATTCTCTCTCTTTGAGGAAATGAATAATTTCTAGCAATCAGATAGAGAATGCCTAATAATGGCAAATTGTGAAACTAAATGTTTCCAATGTCTTGTATCTTAAAAAATAAATTTTACTTTTATCTTTTAATAATAAAAATCCCTATTTTCCCCCTTTAAAAACATTTTTTTATTACAAGAGAAAATCTTTGGGTTGATACATCATTGTCCCACATTTGCATTTCTTAAAATCAGATGATTGAATTTCCTCTTAAAAGATGTATGTAAAAAGAAGTATGATGTAAACTACAAAAAAATTTTAGACTAAAATACATAAATATTGGGAAATTTTTTCAGGTCAGCTAAATTCTATTACAGTTGTAGCTAGGCTGATTCATCTTAACAGGAATTAAAAATACTGGTGGGAAGATGGTGATTAGAGCAGAGACTGTCAAAACGTAGCAGGGTCAAGTTGTGTTCACTGAGTCTCAGTTAGGATCCTTTCTGTTACCAGTGACCAAAAATCTAACCCAAACTGGTTGAAACCAAACAGGGGATTTATTAGCCCAAATACCAAATGATTTAGGGTAGAAGCTTCTTCATCTTACTTGTCTCAGTGACCTCTGTCGCCATTCTCAGGCAGCTCTCCCACTGTGGACCCATGATGATGTCCAAACTCCTGAATCTATATGTATCCTGTTCATGAGCTGCAGAAGAAAGCAAATTGTGCATTTCTGATTGCTCACGTCCTAGAATGCAGCTTTGTTCACCCTTGATCCCATGTTCACCCTTGAACTGTGGCCAGAGGTATGGGATATACTGACTGGCTCTCCCTGGAGCTGGAGGTGGGCTTCTTCCCCCGCCAAACTGCATACTTGAGAAATTTGGGGTCCTAGGTAGTAGTAAGAGGGACTCAGACGCTAGGAAGGCAACCAATAAATAGCCACCACAGCCACATAACATATGGGCATGACCTTTCCTTCGTGTCCTGAAAGGGTGGGGTGTCCTTTTGCACCCTGGGTGGGACACATATGAATATATGTGATCAGAGGAATCAGCCTTTGTGTTCCTTAGGCTCAGGTCTGTAACCCCAGAAGGGAGCAAATGAGGCCTCTTTTAGATCACATACATCCTTCTTCTCTGACCTGAACACACACATTGGAGGTGTAAGCCATTGCTTGTAATGGAGGGTTTCAGTGAGCATCGCAGTGTGGCTCTGGCTCTGTGTTGGTGGCCTGGAAGCCTGACTTTAGGACTATTGTAAGTATCTAGGACGGATGGTCCCAAGCACAAATTGCCACCTAGAACCTTTTTCTGGATTGAGTTCTGTATAAGCAGAGGCATCTGGGAGGTAGACAAGGCTTTTACATGGATGTAATCACGGCTCTGCACAGGCAGGATACAATAGTGTGGGACTTCAGTGGCCCCCTTCCTGTACCATGTCTGGGTTTGTTTGTGCTGAAGTATTGGGTTCTGGGTTAGGCATGCCTGGCTTGAACACTTGAGAGACCTTTTCTGTGAGAATACAGAAGTGACTGTGTCTCACTGCAGGAGTGGGTAGAAATCACAAGAGATCTGGGCAAAGGTGCTCTTGAAATGATGCTCTCAAAACCAAAGCCAGGTTCTGGCAGGAGCCTTCTCTTCCCAGATTTCTTGAGAAAGAGAGATTGCCCTGGTTCTCTTCAGTCTCTTCTGAGTCATTGTGGGTTTAGATGAAGGTTTCAGAGGAATTTCCAAGTGACTTGTTACTTTAGTACCTTAATCACACAAAGTTGTGAGTTTTAAACTTCTGTCTGTTACAGCGCTGCACAGGGAATTGAGGTGATGAAGGATTGAGATACCACTGTACTTGCCTTCGCTAAGCAGGAGAAAACTCACCAAACCACTCACTGTTTTTAGGGAGTCATGATGGCTAGCTAGGAAAGTGAGTGAAATGGGCAAGGTGTGACACAACACAGGTGGTGGGACGGCAGTAGACGGCAGCACCTGACCTGTCCACAGGTGGCAGGGTCTGCTCTGCTCCAGCTGACTGTTGCCATGTGACATACTTGGGCTTACGTTGCCAGATCAACCAATTTTTCAAAGCCAGAAAACCTGATTATTATATATGAGGTACTGATTTTCAAATGTTGGCAATTCATAGTTTTAAAAAACATACAGGGTTTTTGCAGCCTCTGATTTATATTATAACTGTGGGATCCTATTGGAGGGCAGGTAATTTTTAAAACCTCCTTTCAAAACTTTGTATCTTTAAATTTTTTTAAATTGTGGTGAAGTACATGTAATATAAAAAGTAACACCATAACCATTTTTAGGTATACAGTTCAGTAGTGTTATGTACATTCATAATGTGCAATCCATCTCCAGAACTATTTTCATCTTGGCAAAACTGAAATTCTATACCCATTTAAGCAACAGCTCCCCATTGCTCTCTCCCCCAGCCCCTGGCAATCACACTTCTACTTTCTGTCTCTATGAATTTGACTATTCTAGGTAACTCACATAAGTGGAATTGTATAGCATTTGTCATTTTGTGACTGGTGTATTTCACCTAGGATAGTGTCTTCAAAGTTCATCCATCACGTAGCATGTGACAGAATTTCCTTCCTTTTTTAGATGGAGAAATATTCCGTTGCATGTATATACCACATTTTGTTTATCCATTTATTTACCATCTGAGTTGCCTCCATCTTTTGGCTACTGTGAATAATGTCACTATGAATATGAGTGTACAAAATTATATTTTTTATAATGTTGTCAGAAGTCATTAACTATTCCTCTGTTAGTCTCATCTCCACAACATGATTGAAAACTCTGAGCAAGGACCATAAAATGATGCACTTGAAAGAGATTTATTAAAACTGCAAACAAAAGTTAATAATTTAAATATCCTGTGCAGAATTTCAAGTAATTTATGTAGATATTCTAGCCTCAAGGAAATGGAGCATAATTCCCCCTTAACTGTGGAATACACTTAAGGTAAGTGTGGGATAGACCTCATTTTAAAAAGTGCAGTCTGGGAGGGGGATTTGAGAGGAATAGCTTTGCAGTGGAGAAACCTGGCAAACCTCAGCCAGGTGGTCAAGATCAACATCAACAGTGATAATTCATGTTACTAACATGTACCCTTAATATGATGTAATGAGAATGGCGTTTTATCTCTGTGGTCTTCCTCCCCAAAACTCATAACCTCTGACTAACCATGAGGAAAACATCACACATACCCAAAATAAAGGACAAAATACCTGACCAGTACTCTTGAAAACAGTCAAGGTCATCAAAAACAAGCTAAGTATGAGAAACTCACAACCCAGAGGAATCTAAGGAGACATGCTGACTAGACGTAATGTGGTGTGCAGGATGAGATCCAGGCAGAAAAAGGACAGGAAGTAAAAACTAAGAAAACCCCCCAAAACTGTGGAGTCTGGTAACGTGCCAGTGTTGATTACCCAGTTGTGACAAGTGTACCATATTAATGTGAACAACAGAGGAAACTGGGTACAGAGTACTCAGAAACTCTCTATAATATTCTTGCAGCTTTTCTGCAAATTAAAGTTATATAAAATAAAGAGTTTATTAAAAATAACCTTGCAAGTAAGAAAAAGGTTAATGATTGTTTATACTATTATTAGTAAAAAAGACTTTGTATCCCATATGTGTCATGCACTTGGGACTTTTTTACTTCACCACTAGACTGTGAACTCCTTGAGAAGGCTTTTATTTAAATGATCTCTTTGTCCTCAATGACCAGCCTATTGTACTCACTCAGTTAATGTTTCTTGAAAAATAACTGATTGAATGAGCAGGCAGTTGGTTGTATTGACTGAACACATTAATGTGAATACTGTGGAAACTGAGAGTCTACTCCCTGGGACCAGGAGCTGAATAATAGAAACAACTTTGGCAGGACTCCTGCAAAAAAGTTAGAGTAAGGCTAAAAGGTCATCTAGAGAGACCAAGCCAAAGTGAACTACCATGGCATTTTAAAAAACCCACATTATTTTAGGAGAATAGAAAGAAATTAGCAATCAGTATTCAGAATTTTAAAGAATTACATTAGTAACTATATAGTTTAGAAAAAAGACTTTGAATAGTGTTGAAAAGTCATACTACTGGGTAACATCCATCCTTTCGCCCCAAAACCTCTGCCTCTATTTGTGGCTTCCAAATTGGCAACATGTTCTTAAAAACTGATAAGTGTGTTTTTTTACTAACTGTATAGTCATTAAGGTCAAAAGACTTTTCCATGAACTGATTCTAATCAATCAATTGAGCATGATGCCACAAATTTTTTGCAGTGACTAAATGTAAAATGATAGCATCTCTTTCTTTTTCTTTATCTTATTCTAACCTTCATCCTTTCAATCTCCAAGTATATCTTCTGAATAAATTTTAATTGAATAAATAACATTATAGGAAAATAAACACAGAATTTCTTCCCCTTAGCTTAGCAACTAACAGGTTTTTGTTGACCTCTTCCAGTCTTTACTAAGACAGCTTCACAGAGTTGTAATCACAGAATATGTGCACTTTTGTTTCTCTTTTTTGCTTATTAACATTTCTCTTTCTTGTAGCCACTTATGATTTTAAAGGTTACCTGCTATTGGATGAAATTGATGTACCACAGTTTATTTCACCATTTGGGTTGTTGCTAGTATCCCATAATTACAAAAAATGCTACTAACAGCTCTCTGTATACTTTAAAAAAATATTTCCTTATGCTAAGAAATTTGTGTGATCATTTTTATAGCTTTGTTACATTATTACTAGATTAACCCTCTAAAAATATTCAATGCATAAAAAATAAATCTCTTATATTTTTACAGTGTTTTACAATTTATAAAGCACTTCCACAAAAATAACTTTGTTTAATACTGATATCAGCACTGTGGGATAGATTTCTTTCCCTCAAGATTCTTTAGCACTAGGGTTTAATAGTTTTGCTAATGTAATGAGTGAAACAAACGACAAAGGAAGGTGTCATGCAAGAAGCGGTAGTAATCAAAGAGGCCAAAAAATATGTTGGTAAACCTAAATAAATAATGCTGGTTAAAAAAAAATAACTTACTTAGGGGATTACAAGGAGGAACAAAAATACTAAACAATGATAATGTGGGAGATGGAAGGAGTGATCAGAGTCAGTGCATTTTATGGTTCTTGTACTGTTTGGAGTGTTGCTAAAGATACTTCCTTTAGACTTCGACACACCTGTGAAAAATCTAAGACTAACTATAAAAGAACTGAAATAGAATGTATAACTTCAAAACCAGTAGAATAAAACAAGGGAATAGAGAAAACTCAGTCAATCCAGAATCTAAGAAAGGAGAAGAAGAAATAAAGAAAAAGCACAAAATAGATATGAGAAATATATTCAAATTTATCAGGAATAAAAGTACACTTCATGCAAAATGACATTAAAAGGTTGAAAACCAAGGGATAGAAAGATACACTAGATAAATACTAATCAAAAGAAAGCCGATAGAATTTACTTTAGAAAGTGTTATAAGGATAGAGAATCACTAATAGGTATAAGATAGTATCGCATGATAGTTTATTTTCCATTTCATTAATTATGCTATAAGTGAAACCAAACATTTTTCAGCAGTAGTTTACCAAGAACTGAGAACTTGACTGATATTCCTTCTTAGTTCTTTTTATTTTAAGGATTAATCATTTTTAATGCAAATCTTTCCACCCCCCTCCTAGAGTTCTTATCTCAGTTATAGTTTCCTATTGTTACAAACTTGAAAAATTTTGTAATGGAATCTAGTATCTTGTCATGTCCATTTTTTTTCTCTTTGATTCATTATTTTCTTAAGTATTTTAAAGTAAATTATAGAAAGCATGACACTCTATCATTAGCATTTCTATATGCACCTCAAAAAAAGGATCATTTTTTACACAGCAAAATAGTATCACATCGAATATAATGAAAATAACAATAAAA